TGATGTTGATGCTCATGTTTTGTCGATGCATGTGTTTGGGTGATGATGGGTGCATCGCCAGCGATTGGTGATGACGACAACGATGGTGATGCGATCGGGTTGGTGAGGGCAATGGCGAAGAACTGCGTGCGCACGGTTTCAAGCAAACCGGCAACCTTTCTGTTGAAAAAAACATTCGTTTGTTTCATGTTTGTTTGAAGCGTGGTATTTGGGAGCCAACTCGTGTGTGAAGATTTCAACCCGCGCGCGTGGCGGCGTGCGCATTTGGCCCGCATGGTGTGATGTAGTGCGGATTTCCCCTTGGGCGCATGCTGGATCAACGCGGACGCACAACAGTGCAATGTGAGAAAGAGCACTGTCGCCGCTAGTGGCAACCACTCCCCTGTTTCGAACCCTGGGGTTGGGACGGGGGGCAAAACAGCCTCCCACTCCGAACTAGGGGGGGGGTGGGGGGCGGAGTTCACACCGGGGGGGCCTGGAGGCCGAAATGGAACGAATTTTAACCGACTAGTCCCAATTCCAACCGTTCGGAGCGAATTGCAACCAGAAGTGAGACCAATTCCAACCAGAAACGAGACCAATTACAACCATGGATGGGATCTTCGGAATTCCTCAGGATTCCTTCGGATTCTGCGGAATTCCTCCGGATTCCTTTGGGTTCTTCGGAATTCTTCAGGATTCCTTCGGATTCTTCGGATTTCCTTAGGATTCCTTCGAATTCTTTGGAATTTCTGCGGATTGCTCGGATTCTTCGGACTTCCTCAGCTGCCCGCGGGGACAACCGCTCGCCGCCGTGGCGAAAAAAAACCGCTCTCGGATTGAATTTTTGTGTACCGCCACCGCCAGCTTTATTCAGAGATGCCTCTCGGCACGCTCCGCCCCCTCGCGGCTGGTTGGCAGTTGGTTGGTGGCCTGGTTTGCTGGCTGGCTGGTCCTTTGGCTGGTTGGCTGCTTGGTTGGCTCGCTGGCTGGTTGGCTGGTTGGTTGCCTGCCTTGCTGGTTGGTTGGTTTGTTGGTTGGCCTACAGGCCTGCGCCATCTCACATGCCGAGGGGCCCGCCCGCTCGCGGATTGCATGTTTGCATGCAGTTACTACCACTACTACTGCGACTACGACCACGACCACGACTACGACTACGACTACAACTACGGGTACTAGTGCTACTACTACCACCACCTATTACTACTACCGCCACCACCACCACCACCACCACCATTACCACCACCACCACCTACTACTACTACTACTACTACCACCACTACTACCACTACTACTACTACTACTACTACTACTACTACTACTACTACTACTACTACTACTACTACTACTACTACCCTACTACTACTACTACTACTTACTACTACTACTACTACTACTACACTACCACTACTACTACACTACACACACTACTACTACTACTACGACTACTACTACGACTACTACGACTACTACGACTACTACGACTACTACGACTACTACGACGACGACTATTCTTCTACTACTACTACTACTACTACTACCACTACCACTACCACTACTACTACTACTACTACTACTACTACTACTTCTACTACTACTACGACTAGTACTACTATTCTACTTCTACTACTACTGTTGCTACTACTACCAGTATTACGACTACTACGACTACTACTATTACTACTCCTACTACTACTACTACTACCAATAGAACGGATACTACTACGACTACTATTACTACTACTTCTACTACTACTATTACTACCACTACTACTACTACTACTACTACTACTACTACTACGACTACTACTACTAATACTACTACGACTACTGCTACTACTACTAGTACTATTACTGCTATTACTACCGCTACTCCTTTTACTACTACGACTAGTACTACGACTACGACAACGACAACGGCTACGACGACTCTTACTACTACTACTACTACTACTACTACTTTTACTACTACTACTACTTCTACTACTACTACTACTACTACTACTACTACTACTATCACTACTACTACTCCTACTACTCCTATTTCTATTACCACTACTACCACCACTACTACTACTACTACTACTACTACTACTGCTACTACTACTAGTACTAGTACTACTACTACTACTACTACTACTACTACTACTACTAGTACGTCTACGACTACGACTACCTACGACTACGACGACGGCTACACTACTACTACGATTACGACCACGACTGCTACTACTACTACTATTATTATTACTACTACTACTACTACTACTACCACCACTACTACTACGACGACGACTACTACTACTAATTGGAGGATCCCTTTTGCATATTTTGGAATCGATGCAATTCGGTGCGGTTTTGCTTACGCTTCGGCGCCCTCTTGTTCATCTTAACATAGTGCTCGTGCGCAGACCAAAACACAGACCAATTCCAAGTCCAGCGCGTATGTTGGCTTCCAGAACCTCTGCGTTGACATAAGAGGTCCCACTTGGTCTTCACAGTCGTCTTGGGTTTTCTACAATTATAATCCTTTTGTGAGGCTATCCCAAGCAGGTTGGGATTGGGCCCAGTTTGCTTTTCGCACTGGTTTGGATTGGTCCCAGTTGGTTGGGATTGGGCCCAGTTGGTTGGGACTCGGCCCACATGCACCCGGAGGCCTGGGGGGAAGGGGGGGGCGGGGGATTTACAGCTGGATGCAGCCCCGGTCGGGTTGTGTTGAGTGTGGATCAAACCGCACGAGGAATCTGATAGAGCTGCATCCAGACCTTAGTAGGACCCTCTTAGTGTTGAGCCGAGCACTAGTACGGTCATGTTGGAGCTGGATATATTGACAGTTGGGACAAGTCCGAGTAGGATTAAATTGGAGGTCAATCGAGCCCTGGTCGCAGCTGGTAGGAAATTGGATCCAGAGCTACACCTAGCTTTGGTAGGATATCATTAAAGCTCCTTCACCTTCAAGCCCACTTCTGAGACTACTAGAGCTGGATCCAACCCCAGTATTCGATTGTATCTGGATCGAGCCTCTTTGTAGAATTACGAGCTCCATCCAGCCTTCATCGGATTCGAACTGCATCTAGCCTTTTGTGGAATTCTGTCGAAGCTTTCGCCTTTGTGGAATTCTGTCGAAGTGCATCTAGCCTTTGTGGTTCGCCCCCCCCCCCCCCCCCCCGCACACACACCACCCGTTTCGAACGGGGGGCAAGCCCCCCGCCCCCATCCCCAGTTTCCAGGGAGGGGGGTGGAGGGTATCCCCCATCCCTTCCACCCTATTCTCGGGAAAGGGGAAGCATAGTTTTTGACATCCCCTCCACCTGGTTTGCTGGAAGGAGGGGGTTTTCCCCAGTCAAGTGACAGCAGATCGCGCTTGTTCGAATGTAAGAATGCAGGTGCCCGACGCGATTGCTAAACATGTATAGACCTAAAATTATTTCAACAAGTGTGCGCGGGAAACAAATACGATAATGATGAACAACAGCAGATGGTTGCTTGTGTGCTTTCTTGTACTGGTTGCCGAACTCATACCCGATGTCTGAATGTGACGTGTGCGCGAGGGTGGAGTTGGTGCTGCTGCTTGTTTGTAAGGGGTTACTCACGCAGGACGTTCCGATCCAAGCGAGCGTGCTCGCATGGTCGTTCTGCTAATAGCTCACGGCCGGTGCCGCCGACCCTTGACGACGACCTCCACGATGGAAGAGGTCTTCGGGAAGATCGGGATCAGATGCTACCGAGAGTGTCAAAGATCAGGAGAAGAAACAACAAACCGACACAATCAACCGTCGATTCCCGAGAAAGTATAGGAAACTTTGGGAAGTGGGGGGAAAGACGAACACCCCCCAAATATGATAACATATGGGGAATATTGTTATTTGCGTGTATTTATGTATGTGTCCTGGGTCCCCTTCAAAAGAGGCTGCACGAGGCACCCAAGCGGTGCCCAAGGGTGTGAGGGGGTGTTTGGTGGCCGTTTTGGGTGACGCACGATGTGTTGCAGGCGAGTGCGCTTTATTTTTTTTTATTTTCGGGGGCCCACAAATATACACCACCACCACCTCCCTCTCCCCCTCCCTCTCACTGGAGAGAGGAGAAAGGAGGAATCGACGTTGTGGTGGTGTATCTTCTTTGTGCCCCCATATTTGACCAGGTTGCCAGGGGGACCGATGCCGGCTCGGCTGGGAGGAGCGGGCTGGATGTGGACAGAGTGAGCAAAGAGAACAGGACCAGGGGTACTCTTTAGTGTCCCAGGGGGACCCGATAAAACCAGGGGCGTGGTGGTGGAATCTATGTTCTTTGCGAAAAGGAGAATCTGCGTTCCTCCTCGTTTTCCTCCCCTTCTGTGCCCCTCGCCCTCTCCTCCTCCTCCTCCTCGTTCTCCTCCTCCCTCTCCTCCTGCTCCTCCTCCTCCGCCTTGCAAAAGGAGAATATATGTGAGCGCACGGGGCGAGGCGCCCACCAGGCTCCCACGGGCTGTCGTCATGCAAAATCTCCGCCCCCCCCCCGACAGGATGGGGCGCCCACGAGGCGCGCACGGGAGCCCACCAGCCTGGCAAACGCCGAACACCTGGCACACCCGACCAGCCAATGGCACGCGATGTCGGAGTCACTAAGTGCAAGCCCTGTTGTGGGAGCAGGCGAGCACGCATTCGGCACATGCAGTAACCATGCCGAACTAAGCACGGACCTTTTTCCACTCCAACACAGACCAGTATCATACACGGCCAACCTAACATTCCCCAGTCCAAGGTGCAGTAACGGTTTCGAACCTGTGTTGGGTGCGTGTTGGCAAGCGCGCGAGTGCAAACACTTGAGTCACGCGCGGGGCCCTTCCCTGGCCGCAACCCCATCATCGGCCAGAGGCCTGTCACAGCTCAGCAGTCTTGGACTGCTGCTGCGCGCGACCTGTCGCTCCTCTTTGCATGTATTGCCAGCAGCAGTGGCAGTAGCTCAATGGGTATGTGGACGATTTGAAGATTGAGACGGAGGGGGCGAAGAGGGAGAGGACGACGATCCGAAGAACTCTGCAGGATTGGTTGCAGCAGATCGCCGCGAAAGAGAGCAAGGCTTCGTCCGAAGCGAAGGAGCGTGAGCTCAGCTTCAAGGACCGCCGCATCCCTTTCCGAACAGGGGGCTTCATGAGCCAACGGAGGATAGTTCAGTCCGCATGATGGAATTGTTTCGATCAGGAAGTATCCGTGGGACGACGAGTTGGTGTTCTCCGGGTGTAGTTCGTCATGTTAGTTTCACTTGCCAGAAACAGATCGCGATCCCCAATATTAGCAGAACTTTATTTCTGTGCCGATTTAAATGATTAATGTTCTGTTCAGGGCGCGTCCGTAAGACTGTCATCGCCTTGGGCTTGTCAGTTTTAGAGATGTGGATGAGTTCTAGGCTGGTTAATTTCCCTGTGGTTACAGATGGCGGACCGGACCAGGGGGGCTTCCAAGATGCGCGTTGCGCGAGTGTCACGCGTGAGGCTAAGCAGCCACCATATGAGCTTCGGACGCCCTTTTTGGATTGTTTGGAAGCAGCTCCTGGGGCGTCACATTCAGCATCGGCGCTCATCGCTCGTATGACTCTGTTCGAAACTTGCCTTATCTGGCAGAATCCCGTTTTTTCTTTTGTTATTACTCATGACCACCGTTGCGTAGTGGAGAAACACCCTGCTCGATTCCGCAGAATCCCGCTGGATCTGGCTCAATCAGGCTGAGTGTGTGTGTCTGTGTGGATTCGTTTGGTTTATTATGGTTTAATATGTCTGAATCGATTCCATTGGCTTGGTTTCAAGGGAGGGGAACCACCCCGACCCCCCCACACATTGCGTTTACTAAACAGCCCTGGGCGTTTACAAAACAGCCCCGCCCTGTTCGATCCCTTCTTTGGGTGCGTTTACTGTCGGGCTTCCTTTGTCCGCTTTTTTTATTTAATCGCTTCGCTCATTCCGCCGGCCCGTATTGTGCCATCGCAGGCGCTTGCTTGCGCGTTCGTGGCCTCTTGGAGCCTCGTTGGGGCCGTTTGGGACCTCTTGGCGCCTCTTTTTAGGCCTCTTGGAGAACTCGGGAGGCCTCCAGGGGGCCTCCTGAGCTCTCGTGACGGTCTCTTGGGGGGCTTTCGGCGGGCTCTTGGCGGTATTTGTTGGTCCTCTTGGGGCCTGGGGCCTTTGTTGGTCCTCTTGGGGCCTGGGGCCTGACGTTGTTGGTCCTCTTGGGGCCTCACGGGAGCTTATTGGGGCGTCTTGGGGGTGTCTTGGAGAGTCTCTTGGGGCCTCTTTCGGGGTCCTGGGCGCCTTCTGGGGCGGAGGGCTCGATTTTTCAGTTCTCGGTTCCCTTCTTGAGCCCCTCTTGGGCCCGTCTTGGGGCCTCTTGGTCCGCCTTGGGCGGCACTTGGGCCGTCTGGGGGGCGCTCTTGGGCCGCTCCGGGGCCGTCTTGGGAGCCTCGTGGGCCGTCTTGGAGCAGTCTTGAAGGCCTCTTGGGCCCTCTTGGAGCGTCCGGAAGCGAAAAGGCCAGAACGCAAAAAAACATTGAAAAAACAATGAAAATCAACGATTTTGGCAACTTGGGGCCCTCTTCGGAGGCCTCTTGGAAGGCCCTTGGAGCGTCTTGGAGGCCTCTTGGGCTGTCTTGGGGCCATCTGGGGCGTCTTCGGGCGATCTTTGGCCGTCTCGGGCCTCTCTTGGACCGTCTAGAAAGCTTCTCGGGGCCCTCTTGGACCGATCTGGAGCCCTCTTGGACTCCGAAACAGAACTCCGGCATCTCTGGCCCGGCCTTGCCGGGACCTTGCCGGGGACTTGCCGGGGACTTGCCTGGACCTTGCCGGGGTACTTTTCGTCCGGGGACCCCCAGGGGCCGCCCCGCGCGCGCGAACTAGAAATACTGTTAACCATGTACCGGAGATCTTAGCACGCCCTGGCCCGTTGGGCCGGCGAATTATGGGGATGGTGTTTGTTTCGGCCCTCCATGAATCATTCTCGCGAAGACCTCCCAGGAGGCGCCTACCAGCCCTGCTACATCGTTCCAAGTGGAGGGTGGGGGTGGAAGGGTGCGGATGCCATGCGTTCACTGTTAGGGGATCGAAAAATGACATATACACAAGAACTCGGAGATCCGCGCGGATTTCTTGAATCCGCGCTGGGGCCCCCTGGCGGCGCCTCCGGCGCCGCCCCTGGCGCGCGGAGCGCGCCAGGGAGGGGTGTCGAGCGCCGATCCGAGAAATTCGCGTGGACCTCCGAGTTTTGATGTTTTTGTCATTGTTCGTTCCCCTAACTGTTCTGCGCAGTGCGGTCTGATCGGCGGAGCATGCGAAGGCCACAGGTCAAGTTGCGAAGCGGGTGGTCCATTGCGTGAGAAGTCGTCAATAAATAGTGCAGTATCCCCAAACAGGGTTTTTAGACCCACTGCAGTTTCCAAGGTCGATTGCGTGCCCGTCCAGTGCGGGCTGGCATGGCATGTTAAAACATGCCTCCTCCTCCTCCTCGTCCACCTCCTATTCATCCCGAAAGGCATCTCGGAGCCTAGAGTTGCGAGGATGTCTCCAGCGTAACGGGCTGGACCACCTCGCGCGCGGCATCTCGAACCCCAGAGTTGCGACGATGTCTCGGGCGAAACGTGCTGCGAGGAAGTCTCGGGCGACACGGGCCGGACCACCTCGAGCGCGGCGTCTCAGAGCTCCGAGTTGCGGGGGCCTCCTGGTGCCTCCTGGGGTCTCCTGGGGACCTCCTGGGGCTTCCTCCTGGGCCTCCTGTGGCCTCCTGAACTCCACCTTGGGTTTCCTGAAGCGTCTTGGGGCTCCCAGGGGGGATGTCTAACCTGTGGCCGCTTGTGCCCCTCAAAATACGGGGGGGGGGGGGCCACAAGAGCAGGAAACATCAACGAATCGACACCGGATGTGAATTAACTTGACACGTTCTGATAGGGGGCCTCCCGGGGCCTCCTGTGAGCCTCCTGGGAATCTCCTGCGGACCCCTGGGGCCTGTCCTGGGCGTCCTGCGGCCTCCTGAAGCTCTCTGGGGCCTCCCCCTCCTCCTGCCTGCTCCCTCATGCACATCATCCGCCTCCTCCTTCTCCCTTCCATCTCCTCCTCCTCCTCCTCCTCCTCCTCCTCCTCCTCCTCCTCCTCCACCTGATCTCCATCCCGAACGGCATCTCGGAGCCTAGAGTTGCGAGGATGTCTCCAGCGTAACGGGCTGGATCACCTCGCGCGCGGCATCTCGAACCCCAGAGTTGCGACGATGTCTCGGGCGAAACGTGGTGCGAGGAAGTCTCAGGCGAAACGGGCCGGACCACCTCGAGCGCGGCGTCTCAGAGCTCCGAGTTGCGGGGGCCTCCTGGTGCCTCCCGGGGCCTCCTGGGGACCTCCTGGACTTCCTCCTGGGCCTCCTGTGGCCTCGTGAACTCCACCTTGGGTTTCCTGAAGCCTCTTGCGGCTCCCAGGGGGGATATCTAACCTGTGGCCGTTTGGGCCTCCAAATGGAGGGGGGGCACAAGAGCAGGAGAAATCAACGAATCGACACCGAATGTGTATTAACTTGACACGTTCTGATAGGCGGCCTCCTGGGGCCTCCTGTGAGCCTCCTGGGAATCTCCTGGAGACCCCTGGGGCCTGTCCTGGGCGTCCTGCGGCCTCCTAGTGCCTCCTGGGTTTTTTTTTACAGTGCACCGCTGACGAGCAGGCTCCAAGGGCCAAGATTTTGCCTGGGACTGGAGGCCAGGGCAGAACATTTACATATCAGGCCACGCACTGAGCTTCCTGGACGGCGGCAGACCTTTGCACAGCCGCTGCAAGACAACGAGGCGAGCCTGCGTGAAGGCATGAGGACCGAACTCGTCCACTGGGCACCGTTCCTTTAAGGAAACGGGCCTCGAGGTGGCCCAGGCCCCACACGCTCCACAAAAACAAATCGAGGCCTTGCACCAGATCGCATGGGACTGATGGACAGGCTTCCCTGCGACCCAGGACTCGACCCTGGACGGCATGGGATCGAGATCCAAGGATCTCCAGAGGGCGTCACACCGCTCGGGCAAGGGCCTGGCGGGCTTCACCCATCGGCGATGCACAACTTGCTTTCCCCCCCCCCCCCGCTCACACGCAACACACACAGACACACTCCCTCCTTCCTCCTCGAGAGAGGCAGGGCACAGGCTGCGCAGCCTGGAACGGATGGAAGGGGCGCAGTCCCTAACCTCCACGGCACAGGATCCGCACCTCCACACCTGATCGGCATAAATCCACCTTTGGGAGGCTGACAAAACTGCCTCGGCGAGCCCCCGCCGCCGACGAACAACATAGTCGATGGGTTCCTTGGTCCGTCGCCTGTCGGGGTCGGCACGAAACGAGGCACACTCGAGAATGATAGCAGCATGACGTGTCAATACCTGGCAAGCCTGAAGCACAAGCGAATTATGGTCACGGACAACATCTGGAGGGACCTGAATCTCCGACGCACGATCATCAGCCAACTTGTCAGCCAGCGAATTCAAAACAACGTGGTCCCAACCAACATCATCCTGAAAACGGTCACGCTTCTTGGCATCCTCTAGGAGGTGAGAAGGGATGTGAGACAGGCGAAAAGGGGCAGGACAAGAGCCGAGGAGCTCCCAGAGTTCCCACCACAGATCACAACTGGCCAACTTAGAGGTGTGAGAGCGCCCACCTGCGAAGGCCTTGATTATATTAGCATGACCAGAGACCACGTGCGGATCTTGAGCTCTGCCGACGTACCGACACACTCAACAATAGCCACAAGTTCTGCACGCGGAACCGTTTGCCGCTCAGAGTCGACGACACCAGTGACAGCACAATCCCACTCGACTTCTTCACCAGGGACCATGCGAACGAAAGCGAAGGCGACCCTTCTTAAAACAGGTATCTTCCCGAGAGGCCCCCCAGAGCCGCCGGTTCCGCACAGCCACCCAGGCAACGATCCAGGGACGAGGGGCCCCGAGAGCCGCTTGCCACGGAGCAGCCGAGAATCGGGGGTCGGAGGAAGTTGGAACCACGCCCTGGAAATAAGCCCCTTCAACCAGAAACACGACAAAACATTAGCCTCCTGGATTGCCGCATGTCTCAGATGCTGCGACTGAACTACATCAGGGCAAGCAGACC